AGTGTCATCATAGTGCATAGTTGTAAATACATCATGTATCTTAAAGGGAATGCTGATGAGACTTTAACTAGCTTTAAACTGAAAGAGCTTTGTGTAGTGTCGATGTAAATGAACATCCAACTCTGTGTTCAGGTTTTGTCTGTAACACTCAGCAGCTGCATTGCCAGGTGCGTGGTTTTAGATTTAAATTTAACACCCTGTTTCTCAGACCTAGGTTACCACTTAGTAGAAAGCTATTGTTAACACTAAGATATGTTTCAAACATCCTTTCAATTTGAACTTCAGTCTGAATCATAGAAAAAAAAATAAATCTTCTGTAAGCATATTTGGGGAGGGGGGAATGAAATGCTTTATATCTGGGGAGAAAAGGCTTCTGTAATTCTCTGTGATTCTAAAGGTTTCTCAATTTATTTACTCATTAATACAGTGAAGATGTGCTCATGATTTTCTGTGTTCTGCTGCCAGATCTTTTATTATTCTTTTTTATTTTAGCAGATTCTATATTAGAAAACATGCATTGCCCAGAGAAGAAAAAGAAAATACAGATAAAAATGTCATTGGTTCTGTATCCCAGGTGTTGTTAAAGTTTTGAGCATATCATAGGAAAAACATAATGGCATTAGATTAAATTATAGGGGAAACATAGATGAGTTTCCAAGGAAATTTGACTTAAATATATCTGTTAAGACTGAACTCACAGGTATGTTGCACAAACAATTTTCTAAGTCAGGGGGACAGAGTTTGGTTAGTATGTGTGATGTGAACCTTAGTATTTTCTATCTCTGGGTGGGAGTGGAGCAGTAAGAGTATCAGCAGTAGGCCTAGTAGTATTTTCTATGTTTAGGTGCCATTACATCACAGTAGATGTTTTCTTCAGTAGAGCAAAAGTTTCTTGAATGTTTTTTTGGTACTGTATCACTCTGAGGCTGCTTCACTCTTCCTCTCCAAGCTGGAGACTAGATGTGTGGTAACATCTTAAACAGAAAGCTTTTTCCACAGTAGCTGTACCCCTGTTTGGCACTGGCAGCACTGGTAATGTTAACTCTGCCCAATTACTAAATTGTTCTATTAATATTTTGGGATTAAGAATGGAAATGTTTATTGTTACTTTAAAATCTCTTTGAGTGACTCTATAATTCTGTCCCCAGTATGTATAATCTGGGTATAAAATGGAGAACCTCAACCCCGCATCATCCAGATAAAATTGAGGATGTGTCTTCCCAAGAGTCAAATAGGTTGATTTCTGCTGGGTGATGTGAAGACTCTTGTTTCATCTCCAGCTATTTGGTGGCAGAACCTTTAGCACATTCAGAAAAAAGGCATTAAGTGTTACGTGTTGCAAAATTAAATTATCAGATTAGTATTGTGAGCATAATAGCTGTGTGCCTGAGAGAAAAATCACTGCTTCTCTTATAGCAGCAAGTGGCAGGGTGTGTTTAAGCTAGATTCATACAATGGTTTTCAGCATGAGTAGCAGCATGTCCTTGAAGCTGTATTGAGTAAAACAAATCACATTTTGGAAAAAAAAAAAAAAAAAAAAAAAGCTACAGTCCTGAAGCCTCTGGCTGCTTCTTCGACCTTCTCCCCATGCCTGCTACTTTCCTTGGTTTTGCAAGTACAGTAATAATCTGTTTTGAGGAAATGATTGGGCTGGCATGGGGTTTGGAGAACCCATAATTAATACTTCTACTCTCCTGTTATTTCTAGGAGCTTGTGTAACTTTTAAATATATGGAGAAACTAAGACTCTCAGTCCTGCTTTTTGCTTAATTTTAATTGTCTGTTTCTATTCTGGGAGAGAGAGACTGGCGTGCATATGGGTGAGATGGTAGTACCTGTACTTAGCAGTGTCTTTGGTTTATAAGGGGTTATAGCCAAATGGCAGCATCATGATGTTGTGCCATAAAACTCTGAATTCTGGCGTGCTCAGGCTTGACTCGTAAGCCTGCGTGCCTGCTCCTGCGTTGGCATTGAGGCTGCTGTAGTATTAGGAACCAGTGCTGTCAATCACAGCTGCTTCGGTTTGCAGTGTTCTACTTAACCTTTTATGTAACCTACAAGGGATTACTGACTTCTCACTTGCTGTAATACAGGGTTTAAAAAATGCTTTTAAAATTGAAAAACAAAAACATTCCTTGCTCTGCAGATTTTTCTCTTGGCTTAATTAGACTCTTTTTGAAGCAAGCAAACCAATATTTAGAGTTGTCCTGGTTTTTCTAGGATAGAGTTAATTTTCTTCTTAGTAGCTAGAATAGCTGTGATTTAGTTTCACTGTAGGTTTTGTTATGAGAAGAATGTTGATAAAAGCACTGATGTTATGAGTTGCTGCTGGAGCTCAAGGCCACAGTGTTTGGCTGGTTCACAGCTGCATCAGGACTGGGAGGGAGAAGTGCAGTAACTAACAAAACCCAAAACTGGTGTTTGGATGTGCCAGTGAAATATCCACATCATATCCCATCGTGTCAGTATATTAACCAGGGTTAGAATTGGTGTCATGACTTCTGTTACTAAGTGCTTAGAGTAAAAGACTGGATATTTTATTTTCCCCTCAACTTTTTGCCCCTTCTTCTAATAGCATTTTTCATTTAGGTAGTTATGTGTCCAGAACTAAGCACTGCAACATAATTTGAGGAATGGATAAATATGACTTTAATTTCCCAAGTTAGTATTCCATAATCTGATTTTCAATAGAAGGACTAGCATGAAAAAGCAAAGCATGGTAATGCAAACTTTTCAAGCTCCTCCTCATAATCAGCAGTCGCAAATACTGAGATAACTGGGTTGGCTTAAAGTCTAAATAATTCAGAAAGGATTTCAGCTGCCTCAAGTAGAAAGACATCTTGCTAAATGCTTGTGCCTTAATGAGGAAAAGGAAGATGAGAACAAATTTCCTGTACCTGAGAAACAGTGTTTTTTTTCCCCTCTCTTAGTTGCAGACATTCCATACTGCTGCACCTTGCAGAGACGTTCAGGACTTGACTAATGGAGTTGCCATGGCGCAGGTACTTCACCAAATGTAAGTTGATACTTGAATTCAAAGAAGAGGTATTTAATTTCTTGAGGTTTTTGTGTTTGATGTGCATAGTTGCTTCCTCCCACCCAAAGGTTTTTGGTTTATAGCAGAAGATAAAATATACCTTTATATTGTTCTTTTGGGGATGATATAATAGTTGAAGAATAAGGTGATAGAATGGAGAAGAGGATGAGGAAATATTCTAATAATGCAGTATTAAATTAATACTTAAGGGTAGTTGGGCAAGAACAATATGTTCTTTTCCACTTTTCCCATCAACAGTATTCTCAATATGTTCCTTTTTGGAATGAGGAACTAAAAGTTCAAAAGACATGTCTTTGTGCTCTCTTCCTCTTGGGATTGCTCAGTTGAGTTGGAGTTAAGTCTAGGATTTAAATGATAACTTACTATTTGTGTGGAAAAAAGAATTGTGGAACTTCGATGACAATTTTATTATTAAAAAATAATAGTGGGCTAATCAAGAGCAAAATAATTCCTGTCTTACTGGTATGATGACAGATGGTGCTGCATTGAGTGACACTAGTTTTGAAATTTGCAGATACTTCGGAGGGTTGTAACATGAGTCTTGTATTGACAGAGTATCACGCTACAAGTCATCACTGCATTGTTACTGGTGTTGGCTCAGATGATAAAGGAGAAGCCTGAATTACCATCTCCTACTCAAACTATATTTTCAATTACTAAGAAATTACTTAAAATGAACACCACTGCCACCACCCAAGAAACCCCCAAACCCAAAAACCACCCTGTTTGCTTGAAAAGGTTTTAAATGTGATGTGTAAAGGAGCTCAGCCTTTTCCTGGGGCATGGTAAAAATTGATTCAGGGTTCCCTAGTGAAGATTCACTGAGAGTCACTTCCCCTGTGTTTGTGGTACTAGGCTGCCACAGGCTTTGGGCAAACTTCTTTACAACCAAGTTGGTTGATATGCAAGTGGTGATAATAATTGTCTTTTATTAGGTGCTTTGAGGCCAGTGAATAAACAGTGTGGTGTAAAAGTCAGGATATTGTTAGATACGCTGTGATTGTGCCGCTTGGCAGCTCAGTGTGTGTAAACAACTCCCTCAGCAACTCGTCCTGGTTTATGCTGGCAAAGTGGGAATTGTGCTGCCCAGGGGAGCCAAAGACACACAAAAAATAGGAAATGGCTGTAGCTGAATTTTTTTTTTTCCTTCCTAAGTGCCTTTGGCGAATTGTAATGAATGTTGGAAAATCCAAATGTACTAGAGTAGGTACCAAACTTAACGTCAGCACTAGTCAAAATAAGATGGTTTTTCTACATCTTTACCATCACTTTGTCAGGTATAAAAATTGAGTGTGACAGAGGCCTTCACATCCTTGTGTTCTTAGCTGCAGCTAGCTCAAGCATGTACAGAAATTCTTCCTGCCCTGGAAGGTGGTGTCTTAATTCAGCCAGCAGCATGGAAATTTCCTGTGACATAGTTATAACTTGCAATCTCCAGGAACTCATGTCTTACTAGACACTAATGTTTTATTAGTGGCTAATATAGTGCTGATTTAATGCTGGGAATGTGGTATCTTATTTATTTGTGTGCTTATTGATGTTTAATAATTTAATTTTTGTTTCAGAGATGTTGCTTGGTTTGATGAGTCTTGGCTAAATCGCATTAAAGATGATGTTGGTGACAACTGGAGAATAAAGGTATCCAAAACTGAAGTCAGTAAAATTTTGTGGGGTTGGATATCATGTCTGTCTTGACAGTATATAGCAATTCAAAACCTGCAGGATTAAGCTCAGACTTTTTTAGGTTATTTTAAATGAACTTGAACTGTCTGTTGATAGCTTAAGTGCCTTCTGGCATCATTGCATAGGGATTTTCTGTTGTGATATTTCTCTTCCCCTGTCATTATCAGGTCCCCTTGTAGAGCTGCTGTGTAAACATTTTATTATAAATTATTATTTAATTTCATCAAAATGAAGAATTTTAATAAAAGCCTGTAAACTTCTCTTTCATGTGCAACAATTAGTCCAGTAATCTGAAGAAGATACTGCAAGGAATTATGGACTACTATCATGAGGTATGGAAAAAACAGCAGGTTTTTTGTTGTTCCAATCATTAAATATTATGATTATTGTCCTCCTTCACCCAACTTCTCTTTTTTTCTTGGCAGTATAATTTATTTTAAGGACTTTTTTGGCAGAAAGTGTGTGATAATTATCTGGTTAAGTAGAAGACCTGAGTGAACATAAAATTAATTTGAGCAGGTGTGTTTTAGATAAGACTTGGAATATAATGTAGAAACCATGTCTCTCTCATCGCCCAGGTGAACATCAGAAGGACTGAGCTGCAGAATCCTGTTGACTTTTGGGTGTACATTAATATTTCCTGAAATTCATAGTTTGTTCTCTCTCATGCAGGATGAGCACAGTAGCCACAAAAAGGTGCTGTATTTTGAGTTAAAAAAAAAAAAATGCTGAATTTTGTAAGGAGCTTATTGAGTTATGTAATGGGTATGGCACAGCAAAACTTGGCAGGTCACCTTACGGCTTCATGGTCTCACCTGGACTTAGTTGTGATACTGAGTGCCAAGCCCTTCTGTATTGCCAGGACTGAGGCTCTCTGGCAAGCCCAGAAGTAGAAACTTGAGGCTTAGGAGGAGCTTTTTGAAGAATTAGGGAGCAACTGAATTCAGAAGCATTTTTAATTCTGTTTTTAGTTGTGTTGGTAGAATAAATTAATTCTCTCATATTTGAGGTCTAGCCCAAGAACTTCTGACTAGCTACTGCTGCTTTTACTTGTATAAGTGGTCAGTTAACAAAACCCCCAGTTAACAGACTTACAAAACTTGTGGTTTTGCCAAAACAATTTTATACAACTCTTACTAAAGTGCATAACTTCTTTGCACTGAATAATTGTTAAGTGTTTTGCATATGTTTTTTAATGATGTTTACTTTAGATTAAATTTAGGCTGATTCAGATAAAAATCTGGGGTGCCAAGTATGGTAAAGGTCATTGGCTAGCAGTGGATTGAGCACCCCTTCCTCTAAACTCACATCCATACCGAGGGAGGGATGGAGACAGACATTTGGAACCATCTTTGCTGGTGCAAGAGAGGCACAGTGTGTGACATCTGGGTTTCATGTGTGAAGCCCTCTAACAAATGGGTTAAGAACATCTGCTTTATCCAAGCCTCTTCAGATTTCCTGATCTAATACTACTATCTATATGCTCTCTTATAAACCAGTATTTTTAGTGTGTATCTTCATGTTTAATGTTTAAAATCTTTCCCTTCCTTAAGTTTTACTGTAACAAGTATATTAATAGAACATTTTCTCTTGGTGGCTTACTGAGTCCATATTTCTTACCTGATACCAGATTTTTGTGTTGTACAAAAGTGGGAGTCCATGTTTTCTCTTCATTTCTCTCCATTCTTCATTCTCTTCATTTTATTTATTTATTTATTTATTTTCAGTTCTTGGGTCAGCACATTTCAGAAGAGCTTATTCCAGACTTAAACCGGATATCTGAGAACTCAGATCCCACTGAACTGGGCAGGCTTCTCCAGCTTATTTTGGGTTGTGCAGTCAACTGTGAAAGGAAACAAGGTACGTATTACCTTAATCTGTTCAACAAACATCAGACTGTCTCAGGTGATTGTTACGGTGGGAGAGATGTAGAAACTTTTCTTTCCTGTGTATCAAAAAGTCTCTATTGTTAATGTGCTGCATGCCTATTCTGAAACTGGAGTTCACTTAAAAGCAGAAAATCTATGGGAAACTGCTCAGGATAGAATTATAAAAATAGTCTGAAGTGTGTGTGGATTATTCACTCTTGTTAAAATATGTACCAAGACCTAAAATTCACTATTCAAATGCAAATCAAGCAAATTAAATTTAAAACATATTAGAAGCTGCCTTTTGTTTATCTGCAGATGCTTGGGCCTAAATTAGTTAGGTTTTATCTCCTCTTCCCAGAGCTAATGCTCAGTGCTCTGATGGCTAAGGAATCCTCAGCATGATTCTGTTAGTAGAATATGTGTGAGTCCTGGGTGGTCTGAAATGACTGTATCAAAGAGTGTTTGGGAGGAAGCTGTCAGGCTGCACCAGGAATGAAGATGCTAGCAATTACTTTTTTCCATTAAATTTTATTTATTAACTCAATTGCAAGTTTGTTGACTGTTTGGAAAAGCTTATGTATATACATTCATAGATGTGTGTTTGAAAAAAGAAGGATGTAAAGATACATGTATTAAAATCTCCTTGCCCTGTTATGCATAGTACAAATTTATTCACTTTAAGAGATCATAATTTCTTATGCTTATTTACCATATTACTGGATAATAATGTTGTCAGTTGGTGGTAGTACACGATAAAAAGAGCACTACCTGTTTTGAAGAAGCTTTGTAGAGAATAGTTTCTTCTGGATCTTTCTGCAAACACTATGTCATGTTACTGAAGCCACTGAGATGTACGTTGTCACTACGAATTCTTTTTCACAGAGCACATACAGAATATCATGACCCTTGAAGAGTCTGTTCAACATGTTGTCATGACTGCCATTCAAGAGGTAAGTAATAATTCATAGCCTAATGCTGTCAGCTGAGAAGTCTGAATATCCGTTTGTTGATCCTTTTGAATTTTTTAATACAAGCAAAGGCCAGGGAAAAGTGTAAGTACTTCCCTAAATTATCTGGGAGGATCAGACCCCAACCAAGGGGTTTTGATTTCAGTCTCTTATGCCTAAACATAGAACTTGTGGAGACAAGAAATGCTTAAGATTTCCTGTTTCACACAAGAAACTTATCTAGTTGCCCACCACTGATTATACTGGAGTTAGGTCATGAAATTTCTGTTCCAGTGCTGTAGTCTTGGACCCTAAATTAAGCTGATCATGTTTGTGAGACTATGTTGTTCTGACAGACCACTCCAGCATCTGATTTATAAACTCCCAGATGCATCTCTTGTATTCTTGTCATGGTGTGCTCTCCCTGCTATCTTAATTTGTTCTTAGTTGGATCATCTTAGTGATTCAGCTCACAGTGTAGCTCTACAGTCACTCACATCTGTGAGCTTCAGGACTGTGAAGGAGAGTGTGGAGGGAGGCATAAACTAAATGCTGACTTTGAAGAAAATGTAGTTTGTAATTTTACCCTCTTCAAGGTAACGATGGAGTTGGTAGTATGCTTTAAAACTTAGATTTAAGGGGACTGTGTAGCCTTTAAAGCTATAAGTGTCCTGTTGGAGGAAATAAATCCATTAACCTATTGTTTGTTGTATTCTGACTAATCAAACTTTCTGAAGAAGGTCTAGAAATAGTACTGTAATTCCTGAGTAAGGAGGAAAGCCCTTTAATTGTTGACAGACATACTGTGTACATCTTTATACTGGAGATCAGTGAGAGCTATGTTAATGGCAATTAATGTGACACAAAGAAGTGTGATAACGATTAAATTAAGTGAAATCCTGTCCTCTGGTTCACTCCATTTTAACTTGATAGGGGGTAGCAATAATTTAAACAGATCGTTAGTGGAACTCAAAGAAGTGTGATAATGATTAAATTAATCAAGTGAAATCCTGTCCTCTGGTTCACTCCATTTTAACTTGATAGGGGGTAGCAATAATTTAAACAGATCAGATTCATCCAATAAGATGTTACTGCTAACTTGGTTAATTTGGGGAGGAGGAGAGGTTTAAAAAACAGTAATCTTATTCTAGATTTCTTTAAATCCTTTACCAACCATGAGGTTTTTTTTAAATTATTAATCTGTTTTGATATATTGAAGGGATGTAAGGACATGGTGGAAAATAAAATTTGTACTGAGTAGACAGTGAAACTACAGATATTTAACTTCTAATTTAACCTTCTTTTCCTCTGGCCTCTTTCTCTAGCTTATGAGCAAGGAAATAACAGGTCCTTCCACAACTGATGGATCAAGTGAAACGGAACAGCAGGTAACTGCCTAATACTTGTTGCTCTTGTGGTTCAAGCCTGAACAATAAGTTGGTATCTTGCCATCCCTTAAATGAAGAGGACAGTTCTAAAACTTAAAAAAAAAAAACCCAAACAAACCTTCAGCAATAAATTGCACTCTTTTGTCTTCTGTCTGCTCAAACTGCTTGGTCAGTTTTCCACTTGGAGCTGATCTGATTAAACCATACTGGTTAACAAAGAGCAGAGCAACATAGTGATGTAGACAGAGAATATACAATAAAGTGATGCTATTTTTCAGCACTAAGTGAAAAGTTATGTGCTATTTTATAGCTTCTTTAACAAAAAAAATGCAGTGACTGCTATGTCATCTTCCTGGATGGGATAAAACTAGCCAGTACAAACCCACATTGCAAGAAGAGATAGGAGTGCGTCAAGGCTCAGCTGTGTCAGGCTAAGAACTTACAGAATCATAGAATGGCTTGGGTTGGAAGGGACCTTAAAGATCATCTAGTTCCAACCCCCCTGCCATATCAGCAGGAACACCTTCCACTAGAAGTGGAAGAAGAACTTCAGATTATTTTTAAGGGATCATGAAAATCCTTGATAACCTGAACACTACAATGTATTAGACATAAAATGAAGTTGTGTTTAAAGGTACCTGCCTATAAAGGAGCGTCACTATTTCTGTTCCGAGATGAAAGGCATTTGATTTAACAGGCAGGAATTTTGAAATTGTGTTAATGTGAATGTTCATGGTTTTAGTTTTGTTATGCTTTTAGCCTAAGGTGTTGTGTTGAATCTGGATGTTACTCTGAGTTTCAATACTTTACTTATTATGTGTGGTAGTCATTTAAAATGCAGGTGAAGTGAACAGAGATCTTGACCTAACAGTGTATATATAGGTTTTTGTATCAATGTATACCTGACATCCTTCTTAAACAATTGGTATAAGCAATTGAGACATTTTGGAAGCTAGAACTGTGAGTACTTTGGGTGTGGGCCAGAATGATTGACTATCTTATTTTTTAAAAGCTTAAAAAAGCTTTGGAAGATCTTCATGAAGCACTAGCAGAAAAAGAAGAGTTGGCACAAAGATGTCAAGAGCTGGATTTACAGGTAAGAACCAGTTATTTCTTTGATATGTAGTGGTACTACTATTAAGATGCAGAAATTCTGAAGGGCAAAGTGAATTTTGGCGTGTGTTTAAGTTTCTATAAGAATTCTTAGCTGTTTGTGTGGGGAAAAACAATTATTCTGTACTCCAAAATGCAGTTACTGTAAGTAGTTTTCTGATGGAAGTGTAAGCTGAGGTCCTGTACCAGCTGTTAACTGAAAGGTTGTTTGATCTGCTGGCTTTATGTTTATCCTTAGTAGAAAGTGGCATAAAAAAAAAGTTATCATGGCTTTAAAAATTGCCCATTTAATTTTTAGTACCTGCTTCCTCTAGTCTGTTGAACTGTGTCCAGTTCATGTAATCAATCATTAGATTTAATCATAGGAAAATTATGCTGTTTTCAGTAGGAGTTGAAGGACTAAAATTTGAAATTTATCTAAAATTTTACTTTTTCTCATATATAGTTGCAGCATGGAGAATATTTCAGGAAATAAAAATAATGTAAACTCATAGAACCTTGCTGACATTTTCAAACCACACTGATAATAGGCCTGCTTTTGTTTTTAATAGATACAGAAGTTAATCAAGTCTCTCTTTAGAAAAAGAGAAAGGACTTCATAACATTAAACAAGAACTTGAATTTCAATAAACTTTTTAAAGAAAAAAGTAAAAAAAAAAAGTCCATTTGTTTGCCCTAAGTCTGATTCCTATTTTATGGCACTATAATCTGAGACTAGAAAGAGGTTTATCTGGTACGGCTATGGCAGCTCATCTCAGACTTGTTTCTGTACAAGGAGAACTTTTGGGGCCGGCATTTTACAGGAGCCAGAGAGCTGTGCTGGCTGTATGAGCCTCTGGGAAAAAAAAACAAAACAACGAACAAAACCCAAAACCAAACAAAAAACAATGACAAAAAACCAACTCAAAAAACCCCACAAACCCAGAGGCCAATTTTATGTTTCTTACAGATATGACAACTAAAAAATAGAACACTTTAATATATAAAGTCACTCATAGCTAATTGCCATCCCCAGGAAGTTGTTGTTCAAATTGAAATTGTATTTAATTTCCTTTTTTCCTGAGGTGGTAGTAAGGCTTCCTAGTGAAAGCAGAGATCTCAAAATGCTTGTGAGCAGAATCTGCAGGAGAAAATGTTTTCTTTTAAATGGGCAGGAGGATCGATTTGACAGCTGAACTCACATTACAGGTGTTAAACTTCAAAAAGTGTGTTCACTGTTCAAAAACTCTCACTACTAGAGGTGCTGGGATAACAGTTTACTTGCACTTTCTGCTTCCATTAGGAGTCTTAATATGTCTCACTAGAGAAGTCCCCAACTTTCTCCTGTCTCCCACAAACTTCTCTTTTGAGGCTTTTCTGTTAATTAATGGTAGGTTACACAAAGCCAGTTGCTTATAACGTAGCATGGGCCAGGTGAAGGCTTGAAAGGTGTTAGAGGGGAAAGGTACTGCTAAGTGTAAACACATGAGTTAATGACATCATAGCTCGTTAGTACTGGGACGTGTTTTTAAAATCTCTCTCCATAATTTGTGTTGACTTAAACACCACTTGTATTATGTTGAAATAATATAAAAGGAGAAAGCTATCAAAAAGGAAGCCAGAAAAGATTAAAAACTTGCTCTGAGTTGTGTGATAGCTGGGTTTTTAATTGTTTTCTTAAGTCTGAGATGGGTGTTCTTTTAACATGCTTCTAGAAGTGTGAATGTTGTGCATGTTTAAGGAGCGGCTGAACCTTGAACAGGAAGTATTATGCTGAGCAAGGCTCAGATATGCTCTCTACTCATAGGTGTTTTGTGTGCATGTCTGTAGTAAAGTGACATCTGCTACGTAAAAAGGAGTCAACCTAGAAAGCCAGCACCTAATGAAGTGGTAGATTAATTACTGTTTTGTTTCTCATATATTTTTGACTGATAGGCTTTTAAATTATGATCACAAACAATCTGTTCCTTAATATTGTATTCTCTAGGTTATATCTGATGTTTAATAATGTCACCATGATACTTTTTTTTTTTAATTTTATTTATTTGAAGCCATAATATTGACTTGACGCTTCTCATTTAAACTAATTCTTAATAAATTCACTTGTAAGGTCTCAGTCTTCCTTGATATTTTCCAAGAGTATAAGAAAGGTAGGTTTTCTTTATGATTCAGGAAAACATAACCCAAAAAGCATATTGTCCCTGTTTAAATGCCAGTTAACTAACACATGCTACGTGCTCTTATGTTTGACAGGATGTTAAAATTAACAGCTTTCACTAGAAAAAACTTTAAAGGTTCTGTCCTCTTAATCCTTCCCCATTTTATGGCTGTTAATATACTTACTGTTTTAATGAAGTGTTGTATTCTCATTTGCTTAGCTGTGAACACTTTCAGTATCAAACTTGTTTGATCGTTGCAAAAAAAATTTGCATGCTCTATATGAAGCTGTCTAGGATTTTTCTTTTGCGTGTGTGCTTCCCAGCTTACGGCGCCTGAAACCGCTTCTCGCGCGGCCGTTCACCGCTGAGCGCACGGCAGTCCCGTGTTAGTGTGCGAGCCAGTGCCATCCTGCTTTTTGTTGTGAAGCACAAGCAAGATGGAGAGTTACCTTCACACCAGTACTTAAAGCTTTTTTTGTGTGGCGTCCATGGTATCCTTTTTAATGGAAGTACCAGTTTCTCTCCGTGTCACATCGTTTGCCTTTACCATGGTTTCAGCTACGAAAATTTGTCTTTTTTTTTTTTTTAGAGGGACTTTTCCTTTAGTGCTTCATAACTTTCATACACTAAAGCATCTGTATGCTCAAGTATGCTATTTAAGTTACATTCTAAAATTTCTAAACGCTCAACCTTTTTTCATAAACTAATTTGGTGACGTACCACTGTCTTACTTTAGTTCTTTTCAGTTGGCCAGATCTTACAATGTTGATGCTGTTTTATCTGCACTAGGTGGCTGCCCTCCAGGATGAAAAAAACAGCTTGTTGTCAGAAAATGAGGTTATGAATGACAGGCTAGAGCAATTAGATGAGTCTCTTGATGATCCGAATACTGTGGTTGCAAAAAAGTATTTTCATGCACAGTTGCAGCTGGAACAACTGCAAGAAGAAAACTTCAGGTATGAAATTATTTATCTCAAAACATCCCTCACTTGTCTTGTCAAATATATCCTGAGAATTTCTGATAATCTTTCAGAATTTTCTGTTTCAATTTCTTTTTCTATAAATGTTTGCTGGTACTGCATAAATATATTTTGAAGACAGTCTTTTAAAAAGAAAAACAAACTGTTACTGTATGATAGAATATATTACTTTGTAATTGCCATAGAATAGCCATTTGAAACTTCAGAAGAGGTGATGGAAAGCAGAAAATGAATGCTGAAGTCACTTGTGTGTAAAAACAACCCCCCCAAACCTCCCCAAATCTGCCATATCTCTTTACTGTTCTTTTGCATGTTAGTCTTTCTCCCTGTGATCCCTGTGGGAGGAAAAAATAACTTTTCATGTGATCCCTGGAGATTGCTATAGTAAAATTGTATTATGATTTAACAGATAGACAATAAAATGTTCCATGCTTACAGTACCATTTTTCTGGCTACTTAGATCAGGAGGTTTCATTTGTCTTATTTATTTGTAATAGTTCTAGCACTAAATGAAAAATGTGTAATGATGATGGGTTCTCAAGAGTTCCTGTTTTTGATCTGGTAGGCTTGAAGCTGCAAAAGATGATTATCGTGTCCATTGTGAAGACCTAGAAAAACAATTGATTGAACTGCAACATAGAAACAATGAACTGACCTCTTTGGCAGAAGAATCTAGAGCCTTGAAAGATGAAAATGATATTCTTAGGTATGTAATAGAGAGACCTCCCCACACGCACACATTAGGAGGATTTAATGACTAAATCCAAGGCTTTGCACTTCAGACTTTTTCTGAAGCGTTACTTGTACAGATTATTTTATCTGAACAAGATCTAAAAAAATGTTGGAAAAGGGCCCTTTGACAAAACAGAGATGGAGTGCAAGCTTTCAGGCGTAGCCTCTATTGTTTGCATAAGAGTAGCAACGTGGAATTTTTTCTGTGAAGCAGGATTAATGAATACAGAAATTACTATTCTTCATGTGGGATAGAAGGTGAAGTTCTCCAAGAACTGAGAAATTTTTATGGAGGGGTGCGTGCATCCTTATTAAGGGGACATTTGTGTTGGCAAGAGGCTGTCTTTTCTGATGTAGAAAATCATATATGCAGGTAAAACTTTGGCATGACTTTTGGTGTCATCATTCTATGCTAGATTTAGGTTAGTAACATGGTTAACAAAATGAAGATGAAATACATAATAACCTTGCTGAGAGTAAAATTCCAGCTTGTGTAAACTAAATTACATACCAGACCACCCAAGCAATATCCAAAACAAAGCATATTGCAAAAGCAGGTCTGCTATTCATAAAATAGTATGAATAAAACATGGAAAGAAAAGTGGTTTCAGGTGTTTAGCTTATAGTGGTTCTTAAATAACATCTGAAACAAATTTTCACTATAGATTTTATTCCATAATTTTCTTATACTAGCTTCTTGTGATATGAGATCCATAAAATCCCTAAAAAAGGCTGCAAGGCTGACCCTGGTAAC